CTCTACAACTTTAGTAATTAAAAATTCCTAAACATTAAGATATAACCTATGTTATGTGTACGTTGTGAGCTAAATTTCTAACACCTAAGTAGTTGAAATGACAATAAATAAAATTACTCGATTTTAACCTTTATAGAGTATGTACATATAATACTAACTAAAAAGAATTAATTGGTAAAATGGACTAATTGGGACCTCCTAGGCTAGCCACGTCAGTTTTTAAAAATTCTATTCTACGTTGCCACATCATCAATTTAATATTTTCTCAAAAATTGTCATATATGTAACAAGAAGAGTCTCAGTTAATAATCTTCATGCCACATATTTCTTCACTGAGTCGTATCAGCTTCATCAAATTAGGGTTTACAATGCCTCCCCATTTACCTTGAAAAATTATATCTATGGATTGATCCCCAACTTGACCTCCTCCTCCTTTAACTGTTTCTCACAATGCTCACGTAACCTTAGTTATTAATCTTATAAGATATTTAGATGTGTTCTCTTTATCCCTTTGAAAATCAATCATGCTTTTCCACTCACTCCTAGTTTAGGAGAATAATAGATATTCTAAAGTTTATGCCTTTTTTGAAATGGTGGTATTAATACAAATCGAGTTTAGAGTCTGCAGAAATTCAGGTAGTAATATCCATTTCATCATCTCTTTCATGAAATATCATGGTAATTGCAAAAATAGTGTATTGATTTCTTCTTTATTTTGGTTGTTTTAGTAGGTTCGTACACTTTTATCTCTGTTTATTAACTAAAAAAAAACTAATTTGGGTCTTTTAGGCTAGCCATATCAGCAAAATGGAATTATCTAAAATGATGTCACATTAGCATTCTTTTGTAGGTAAAAAAAAAAAAATCAATCAAATACAATGACAGTTAGTAGGTTAATATATTCTTCTCCACTATTGTAAAAATCATAATCCTATTTAATGATCGTTGGAACGATGAGGAACCGCAATCAAAATCTATAAAAAAAAGCAATGAGAAGCTGATGGTATCCTTTGATCCTTTCTCGTTGTGGTCGTAATTTTCCTTTGGAACTACTACCATGGCGTGTTTCTTAGCCATTTTTCTTGATTTTCTTCGGGATCCATGTAACGAGACGCCTTACACATTGTATCTTTGTGACATATTAATCAACAACACTCCTCGGAATGATGACTCATAACATAAGGCGTTGTATAACCCATACATCGTTGTTTCTTCAGCCACTGTGATTCGAGAGACCATCGCTTTGAATCGCTCATGAAAAATTGGAGTGATTATTTCGATCGTCGAGAAAAAGCCCATAGGTTGGCGCTTATGAACATTGAATAATGTTTCAAAAACGTGGTGGAGAAGTGGTAGAAGTTATGCATCCAATCGAAAGAACCATATAAGGGCGACCTCTGCGAAATGTTCGACAAACAACTGGCAATAGCCGGATTACTTTTCCTTTAGAATTAACTAAGCCCGTCCCATCGCAATATGGAACGCCATAATATGCTAACTCGGGTAAGTTTTTCCTTTTTATTTTTGTGTTGTGATTAACGGGAGTGTTTGCAATTTCTGTTGTGGACGAAATCTTCTTRGTTTCTTGCTCAATTTCGGGCGCTGACAGGTGACCTGATGCATCATCGAATTGTTAGTTTGGATCGTATTCTTCATGATGGCGATCTCCAAGTCTCTTGGGTCGCAAATTCAATGTGGGAGAGTTTCATAGATCGTGGATCGTGCGTGATCTTGGTTCTCGTCCGACCTACTTGTGGTGGGGGGAGCACGTCGAAAAACAAAATACGATTAAATCGGCGTTGTAGATGTGTTGTATGTGATTCTAGAGGATGGAATAGTATCCTTGCGATTTGCGGAGGGGTAATTTGCTCTCTTGTGGCTCGAGTTTCTGCGTCATGTTTGTCGCGTTTCACGAGTAGAGTTTTCAGCAAGACGGTGATGTCTGGCTGGGTTGCAATATTAGCGGTCGTCGTTGGTGCTGATTGTATGACTTTGTTGTGTTCGTTGTCGTCTTCACCGTTTTTTCTATCGGGTTGTCAACAGGCTTTCAGCTCTGTTGTGTACTACTGGGATGTTATCTCGAATCCCGTCGATGTTGGTGTTATCTTCTCCATCGGCTGACGACTAGGTGCGGTTTTTTCTATTACTGTCATCGCATACTAATTTGATAAATTATCTTGCGTTAGAAAACCTAGAAAAACTTTCTACATACGGTGCCAATTGATGAATCTGAATACTGTAGAGTATTAAATCCTTCAAACAATCTAAGGGTCTAGGTTTCTAAAAATAATAGTTCAAAGATTCAAAAACGATGGAAAAAAAGAACAAAAGTATGTGTGTGTTTATTCAATAAATTTCTCATCCGTATTTCTAGAGAAGTAATGTATATTTATGTTAGTGTAAGTCGGCCGAATAAACCCTAACATGATAAATA